AAAAAAAGCACTTTTAATCCCGGAAATGATTGTGCCACAAATGATTTAAGTTCATTTTTTAACTAAATAAATATGAAGCACAAACCTAGCGTACAATGGCTAGCATCATATTCTCTTTACTCTTTACTATAGATGTGCATCATTTCATGCTCATGCATTCATCATTCATAGTTAGATTTGATAAAGATCTGACACCAAGGACCATGTGTTTGTCATAGCTATCCTGACATGCCAATTCTGGAATTCACAATAAATAGGAATTGTATTCAACAATAACAACACTTCCTAATAATTTGAAGTACTCTTTAAAATAAGGTCTGGGAAAACTATGAGATTTCAAGAAAAAGGTTCAAAAGACTTGACATGAAACAATAATGGTGCCCATTAACACTACAGTAATCAGGAAATTGCAGCACAGGCAAGTTTCTAACATCACAAATTCATTCAATACTCTACAGAAATGATGTGGGTCTTCGAGCACACTGGTCTAGGGCTGCAAAAACGTCACGTTTTTGCCGTACATACACCCTACCCTTCCGGCAGGGGTTTTGTAATTGTAAGGGCTTGAAATCATTACGAAGACACCGTTCACGGCAAAAGGCAAAAGGCAAAAGTTTTCTAGTCGATCATCAGGGTAAACAGGACCTCCCTTCCCTTTCCGCACAGCCGCAAGATTCAGCTGCTTTACAACTAAGTACACAACTTCACGGGCAGAAGTTTGGGGAACATGAACCTTCAGGCTTGAGCCAGAGGCAAGGCCAGTCTTGTAGGCTGCATACACCTGGAACAGTCACAAACATTTTATTAAAGTCTATCAGTAAATGCAGATTGAAAACTGAGACGATTAAGCACAAACATAGTGAAACAATGTACAATAAATGTGGAAAACAAATTTATCTAAAATTGTTGGATAATTAGAAAGTTTACATAAGTTTAGATTCAAAATATCCATAAGATGCAGTTATTGGACAGCTATGAAGAGAGCAAATGTACTGTGGGGTGTCAGCATTCAGTGATTTTGAAGTGTTTATAGAGGCTCATCAGGGCTTGGCCACCACTCTCACCACCTTACCCAGCTCAAAATTCATATGGGGCCCAGGGTCCCAAATTGTGGAAATCCATGAGATCCAATTAGTTCCTAAAACATTTTTAGGGTCCCCATGGGTTCCAAGTAAATTTTGAGACTGACATGCAGTACATAATGTTTGTTTCTACACTGACTTATCAAATATACCAACCTCCAACAACATCCTCAATTTGAAGGCTTGGAAGAAAAAGCCAAGAACACATTACCATTTGGGAAGTAGATTAACAATTAATAAATCAGTAGAATACCCTTGACAAAATTTTACAAAATATAAAATGGCTTGTATAAGTAGCAGGGAAGTTCAAGTTAAACTTTCTTGATTCAGAAAAGTACTACATTGTAAATCAAATACTAAGCAAAAAGCACAAAAACTGAAAGAGATTCAATTTAAGGATTTTGATTGAAAAAGAGCATTTTGCTTAAGTCTGGGGGAGGCTGGTTTCCTTAGAGAGGAAACAAGTGTTGATGCAAATTACCTGGAGAATTCCAGATGATGGAATGGGCACAATAACTGAGCCTGCTCCACTCTCATCATCCTCGTCTTCTGCAGGGTTCCTATTTCCGACACTGCCAATATTGACAACGGCCGAATCCTCAGAAGATAAGGAATGCTGGCTTTCACTGGTTGCAGTAATGTTTCCTCCACTCACTCCACTGCCAGTACTCATTCCACTAACACTTATAGCACTTCCAACAGGCTGGTTGCTTGCACCATGAATGGAGGAACGAACAGAAAGAAGAGGAGAAGTTGTTGCCGATACACTGGCAGTGAGGACAGATGATCGACTACGTTGGTGGCCCAGTGAATGAACCCGTTGAGACGCAGACATGAGCAAAGTGTCTTCACTACGTGAATTTGGTAAACCTTTCAAAGAGCCTGAGAACAAGAAATGAGAAAAACTGTCATAACAAGAAACAATTTGAATGCAGTCCATTTCTAACAAAACTGAGCATACTTGGAGGATTATTTCTGCCTAATGTTGCAGAGCATATACTTGAATTACTCTAGGCTGGACTGGCAGCCATGACCCCAACAGAGCCTACACTACCAGCACTCTCTTTCCTTGGAGTTCCACTGACAACAGGGGCAGACCCAGCTGATCGTGGATTGGGAAGAGGTGAAGGAGGGGACAGAGACAAGGTAGCTACAGCGATGCTAGGAGAGGCAATAGTTGTGGTAGAAGCAGTGTTTCTACTAGTATTTAACTGCTGCTCGCTCTTGCTGAATTCAGGGGCAAGTAAGCATGGAGCCCCACTGACACCAGGACCAGGCCAGCTTCCCCGACTAGCACTTGACTTTACAAGCTTTTGATCTCGCGGCGGTAGCTGAAGGAGACCACGTTTCACGCCTAAAGAGCCACCTGTAAAAAACGCAGCTTAGTTGTACATGCAACAACAACAAAAAAAGTCTATAATTTTCTAACAAAGATCTAGTAAGAGTGTTTAGATAGAGACTTACCATCCTTTCCTTGGCTAGGTGCCCCTCTTGCTAAAAGTGTTCTTATGGGTATCCCTGGCGGACCACCGTGAGGCTGTGAACCTCAATCTCTTGTAAATGTGACAAGATGCAAGAGCCATCTAATTCCTTTCTTCAATGCATTAAGTTGTGAGACAATTTCTTGAAGTTTCCAGAAACATTCTTTAGCTTGAGAGACTTCAGCAGTTGAGAATGCCTTGAAATGGAATGAACATATTACTTTTAAACTTGACTATATTTTACAATGTGGATTTAGATCAATGTTATAGCAAAATGTAAAATTTGCGATTCAT